ATTATTGAAAATGTTTTTGTCTGTGGGCAAATGACTATGTTGCCACCTACGCCTAGCTTTTCTTTTTTCTGCTATGAGCCTTTTTATTTCATATGTTGTTGTCTGGCAGGAGTTTTCTGTCGTAACAGGAGTAGGAGTAGCAAACTTTGCAGCATCGTATAGAAGAGTATTAAAGGAATCGATGGTGTTTTCGATATCAGCGGAATTTTTAAGTTTAACTTTGAGGTTAACTTTGTCTTCTACGAACTTCCGGTAGATGTCCCAGTTTGTTTTATGATTGCAGATCCTAGAGGAGGGTTTAAAAATACTTGCCGAAGTGCTTATGCTGGCTATTACTGGACTATGGTCAGATGATAAGTCGTAGCTTGCTCGTACTTCCTTGTGAATTGAGCTTATACCCGATGATACAAAAAAGTCCAATAGATCTGGTTTTTGGCAGGATCGCTCGGCCAGTAGGTGGGGGAACCTGAAGAAAGAACACTATAATTGAGTTTATGTATTGTATCATATAGCTGTTTTCCTTTGGGATTATTTAATCTTGAGCCCCAATTGACGTGTTTGCTGTTGTAGTCTCCGCCGGCGATGAAATGACTACCTAGTGTAGAGAAAAAATCTTGAAATTGTAAACTGGTTATATTGTGCCTCGGCGGACAATAGACTGCAGAAACACATAAGTTGAATGAATTCATTTTTAATGAAATTGATGTGGCTTGCAAAATTTCAGATTCGTATTTATCCAGTTCGTAATGAAGAAGATTAGATTTTACAATAATGGAGTCCCACCATGTGCGGTGCCATCGGGATGGTTAGTGAAGTATGTCTTGTAATTTGGTATATAAAAGTTTGAATACTTGGTGAAGTGTGTTTCACTAATTAAAAAGATGTCGATATTGTTGTGTCTCAAAAATAATTCTACTTCGGCTTTGTGTTGATACAAGCCGTTAGCATTCCATAATCCTAAGTTTAAAATATTAGCCATTATTTAGCTTTATTAATGTTGATTAATGTTGATAACATTTTGACAATCATGGTGTTTTGTTCCATTAACTGGCTAAACATATTTCTAAATTCAGTCAGGAAATCAGACATCGATGGAGAATTACTGTTGTTAATGTGATTTTGATTGTTGTTAAATAGGTTTGATTGCGATTTTATTACCTGAGCATAAGACATATGCTGAGGATTTGCGTACTGAGAAATTCTATTGTTGTGAAGGTTGGATTTGTACCGGTTTGCATTTGTGTGTAAATAAGTCCCGTTACTTCTGCCTATTGTTGCTTGATCGTTATCTGCACCGACAAGGTGAAGGTAGTAAGAACACCCTTTGTAGTTTGCGGTATGATTATCGCCGCAATGATAACAAAGGGGCGGGGCTTCAGCTGCTTTTGTACACTTTTTAGACTCATGATCAGAGCCGCATTTTACACATATAAATCTGCGGTTGCAATAACGCTGGGTATGGCCGTACATTTGGCACCTTACACACTGCGGAATATTAGATGATCTTATTGGGGGCTCAAAATGAATTATTTGGTTTAACATTTTATTCATTTTAAAAATTGACGAATTGTTTTCTTTGGGTTCTAAGTCTATGTAAAACATGTTCAGCAATTGTTTAGTTTTCGGATGTATGATATTAGTAATATTTCTGACAGGATGACCTTCTTTTTCAATTGCGGCTTTGATATCATTTTTATCTGTGGCGTAGTGCAGATATTTGAGTACAACCCTGTATGAGCGTTCCGCTTTTATCTGGTAGGTATGAAAAACGACGTCTCTTTCACGCAGAAATTTAACAAAATTGCGGTAGTCTTCTATTTCAAAAATGTTGAATTTAATAGTTTTATTGGGTAGGTATTTAGTGATGTATTTGTTTTTATTAATAATTGAATTAATATCCGCTATCATAAGATTGTAATCTCGAACCCCGTAGACAAATAAAGGCGGAGGAGTAGATTTTTTATTATCTGTTGCCTCGTCTGATGGTTTAGAAACTTTGTTTTCTAGAGCGCTGAATTTGTTGGCTAATTTTATGGGAACGCTTTCATTACTTACTGCGTTGTTCGGGCGACGTCTTTTAGCGGAAGTTACCTCTTGCCATGGGTTTTTATTCGTGTAATCAATCACATCGCGTGCAGTGGACTCTGGATCCATTGTTGCTATTGAAGACAAATTACTTGTTGATGGAATGGGAGTTGGATCCGACAATGTTGATCTATTTACTGCATCATCGTTATTTCTTTTTGTAGTCATCTGGTTCAGAACTAGTTGAGTAGAATTATTTTGGTCTTCGTGAATGATGTTAAATGATTCCACAATTGGTATTGTGGAGTGATAATTTATAGTACTCCCTGACGGGAGCACTATATTTAATTAAAAAGCACTGAATTCACTAGTAAAGTCACTTACTAGATCAAACACTACACTAAACTGTGACTAAATAAATGCTGTTTATTATGCTTGTTGATTGTACTCAGGTATTGTATAATCGATGTGTTCGCTTCGAGCGCTGAATGAAGAATGACTCGCAAAATTGCTACCAGTATGCAATAGCGAGTGATGTCGTTCGTTACATAATAAACAGGTTTTATTCGATCGACACGTAGTCGTTATCTTATGACCCAAACAATTGTCGCATAAGTTTAATTTTTGAATAAGGGATCGCCGTTCAGGTATACTCAATGATAGAAATTTTGAACAAGTAAACACTCTGTGTTGTTTCCGACACATAAAGCATTTGTTATCATATTTTTTTTTTAACAAAAATGACCGGCTAATTTTAGTGTTTTTGTAATTGGGTTTGTCATTAGTGAAATTGTTGGTCATACCATATACTTGATTTTTTGCCTGTTGTGACTTTTGAAGAAAATGCAGGAGGTCTTGGTATTTGGGAAACTCACCTTGATAAAAATGCTCGAATTTTTCTTGTAAAAACGGATCGAGTTTCGAGAATGCCAGTGACGTAATAAGGAAATCATAGGCGTCGGGAATATTCAATTGGGAGAGCGCTTGCACCGCGGTATCGAATTTTTCAAGGAATGAATTTATTTGTCCAGATGAAATGGTTTTGAATGACAATAGTTGTTTGAAATAATTGGTGGCTAAGTACCGTTTATTTTCGTATTTTTTTATGAGCGCTTCCCAAAGAATTTGATAATTATTTGCGGTCGGTAGTATAGAATGAAATATTTTTAAAACCGGACCCTGTAACGCTCCTTTTAAAAAATGAAATTTTGATACATTATCTAACTCTGTATTTTCATGAATTAGTGAATTGAATGTTTCATAAAATAATGGCCATTGTTGAATATCTCCTGAGAATTTAGGTACTTCAATGGACGGTAAATGTTGTTTGGGTACTATGTCTTTAATTGAAGAACTATGCGCATTTTTATTATCTAATAATTTCTCAGCGTGTTTTATTTTGGCATACATCGTTTCAAGGGCCTTTATTGCGGAATATTCCGGAATGAAACTAGGATTATCTAAATATTTTAATTTGTTTATTTCATCGCACAATTGAATAAATTGTTCACGAGCATTTTCAGTAATATATAAATTTTCAAGAAATTGTGTCTTATTTGAAGATACATCAATCTGTTGCGATAGATCGTACGTTTCTTGCACAATTGAAAAGTACATCTCTCTCTTGGCGGTTAAACGTGCGATTTCTGCACCAATATCGATTTTAGGCGCCATTATATATTTTTGTTTTCTGTATACACCCAATTAATCCTAATAATAATTAGGATCCGGCTCGAAGGACCAAATGTTGATGTTGGGGGGTTTCTCAACCCCTTTCGAAGTATTTTATACTTCGAGGAAAAATAAAAAAAATTAAATGTATTCAGAAAACAAAAACCAATGGTAAACAAATATAAATTAAAAATCAAATTCTTCTTACTCCGTAATCAATAATAAACTAAAATATATTCTATATAAATTTTATATAAATGAAAAAAAAACAAAAATGAACACTAATTAATATTGTATGAAAATGTTATCTGTTTTGGAAGTCCAAGCCGCGGCAGCTATTTGGTTGGATCTGGAAACATCAGCGTAGTCGGTTGGATAGGTTGAAAAGAAATTCGAATACACTGACAAATAAAAATAACTGTTGACTTGACACACAATAGAAATTTAATCCACTGATAATATTGAACTGATAACAAACACTGAAAGGAACTGAATGTATTGATTGCAAGTAACTGAATGAATGAATTAAACCAAAATGAATGAAAGCCACGGAATAAATCGACTCGAACACTGAAAGGAACTGAAAGTAACTGAACGAATGAAAGGCGCGGAATGAATTGATTTTAATGGAAACTATTGCCTGCATCGGCCTTTTTATGAGTCAGAATTGCCCGATTGCCTAAATTTGAAACGTGTTGTCCAAGTAGAAAAACAAACCTTTTACAGGTCCGACAACCTACACAGGTGCGGCGCAAACAACCTCATATTAAGCAGTGGCATTGGTTTTCTCTGTAAAAGTTTTGAGTTAAAATTATTAAAAAAATTATCAAATAGAATTAGGTCAATAATTCAATTGCCTTCTAAAAAGCCGCGTTATTAAGGAGTCATCATAAGAAGTTTGTAAAGATATTAAAATCTGATTGCTCTTAATAATAACAAAATAATTAACAACATTCAGAGACAGTGATTACTACTAATAAAAGTAGAATTATTTTTTTTATCTTTCATAAATACAATTAAATTTATTTATTTAAACTTTTAAAATACATTTTTGTTTTATATGTATTAACAAATAATTTAATATTTTAGCTGTTCCTGATATTACATTTTCATATTATATAAACTTTTTTGATATATTTTCCAAGTATTTTTTGAGTGATTTTGCACATACAATGATTTGCAAGTTGCTAATATTTCGTACTCAAACAGTTGAATACGGATATATAGAATTCCCAATCGGTAATAATTAAATTAATTTTTAAATTTTTAATTTTAATATTATTATAACTATTATTTGATTTCAGGGTCAACCCAATCGTAGTACTGGTGTATGCGATGGGGATCTTTTTACTATCAGCGGTGGTGCAACGCCGGACTTTCGACTTTGTGGCCAGAACAACGGCCAGCACGGTGGGTTTTTCTAAAAATTACAAATCGTTTTATGTTTTTTTTATTTTCATTCAGAAATTAAAAACATGTAGTAATTATTAAAAACGTCTATCAAACTAAATATCTAAAATATAGCTCATTTAGTTTACTTATTTTACTTTAATTAAATTGAACTAAAAAACTATGAAAAAAAGAGTGCGCGTAAGGATCACACGCGATTGAAGTAAAACTTATTTGCTACTGTTTTTTAGCAATATGTGCACACGTTTAACAGTGTTAATCATTATACACATTCATATAATGATAAATTATAAATTATATATTTATAATGGCATTAAAAATAAGTATAATATTTAGAAACAATGATGTAATTAAAGCCATACTTCAAATATGACATGATCGGTTTGTCATTGTAATTAGCATTTAGAAACGAACCTTATTAGAAGCGAACCTTAAATGAAGTAATTGCTGATTAATAAATTCTAGAATATTTTATTTCTATTTTACACAGTGAATTATGTTAAACAACGCCTAAACAAATATTGTTTTTGCAACTTCACTCATCATGTAATTGCGTTTGAAGAACTTCATGTAATTAAAATTAACATACATTTATTGACTGCTTGTATTTTTTTTTACTTTTTCGCTGGCGATATAATCTAATTCTTTGAACAGCTGAAATAAATGTCTTGTCTAAAAAATATTTTCCATTTTAATAACTTCAAAGATTTATAGAAACTACGAATAATATAGAAATAATTTCTAATCAATAAACTTAGGTATAGTACACGGCACAAATGTTTAATTTGTTTTATTATTTTCAAGTAACAGGGTAAAATATTCTTCTTATTCAGGCATTTTTTATTAAACCAAGATTTGTACTACGATGTAACTTTAAAATGTATATTTATCTATGCCGATTTTCTTGTTGATATCGGAACGCATATAACGTTGATGCCGGTACGCATACAACGACAGATCTCTATTCACATACACGACGACTAATCACAATCGACTTGTATAGAAATGATATCATCGAGAGCGAATGATGAATCATTGGCAGTCGACTCCGCCGTAACGCTTGTCCGTTGCATTTGTACGGATCTACACCCTAGTCACGCCTAAAGAAGTTTTACTTCAAATATGTATTGCCAAAGAAAGAAATGATACAGATTGGTATAACAACATGTATTTTGCTATTATGAGTTATCCTATACATAAATAATACTTTCTTAAATTTTGTAGACTCTACAATAAGATGCATAAACATGACATACTAACTTACTTACTTGTACAAATTTTTGCAGTATATTTCGAACTGTTACCGTCGAAGAGTCGCGCCGAGAACGGCGACGTCAGACTTTCGTTTAGTAGCATGGCTCGTAGTTTTCCTCGAATATGGGAAATACGCATGATCCAAGTTGCGCCGGAACAACGAGCTCCCAACGGTTGCCTGCAGCTCTACACTGGAGTAAATGGTATGTGTAGTGAAATCTATAAAGGGCATGGATGCATTGCCACAGGAAAACTGCTCCATTCAAAACCATTTGTAAACTAGTGGGGTGCATGGCATCGTGCCTTAAGGCAAATTGCTGGAACTTCCCGTACCAAAAATTATTATTTTTTTAAAAACGATTAACATTTTTGAAAAAAATTTACTTCGAAAAAAAATAAAATTTTGAGAAACCATAAATTTGACAAAAACTACTTTTTTTTTGAAAAAAAAATTTTTTTTGAAAAATTCTTCATCTTGTCAATACAAGAAAAATGTTTTTTGAATTATTAAAATCGGACGCTCCGTTCTCTTAAAAACTGAGTTACCATTTTTGGCACTTTTTGCCCCGTATTTTCTGAACGGCTAGACCTGCCTACGCCAAAAACTAATCAGCACGTCTCCTTATCAATACGAATCGAATGTTCTTTGAATTATTTAAATCGGTTGATCGGTGTTCCCGAAATCGTCGACGAAAATTTGTATCCGCACATACATATACACACGCACATACACACATACACACACACGCACACGCACACACACACACGCATTCATTTTTTCTAAGGTATGCCAAAATATTCAGAAACCTTTGAAACGTCGAGAAATGCAAAAATTTTCATTTTCGATTTTTTTGAGATTACTACAACTTGCCCTACGGGAAGTTAATAAGTAGACATCTTCATAAAATATCTGATAATTTGATGTGCATATGTCTAATGATCATTTTTGACCGCCAAATAGCATTTTTTTAACTTCCCTTAGGGTTATTGTATTCGCCCAAATATCGAAATTGAAAATTTTTACATTTCTCGACGTTTTGAAGGTTTCTGAACATTTTGGCATACCTCAGAAAAAATGGATGTGTGTATGTGTGTGTGTGTGTATGTATGTATGTATGTATGAATACAATTTTTCGTCCACGTTTTCGGGCGCACCGCTCAACCGATTTGAATGGTTAAAAAAACATCCGATTTCTATCGATAGGGAGACGTGCTGATTAGTTTTTGGGAAAGGCAGGTCCAGCAGTTACGGAGATAAAGAGCAAAGAGTGCAGAAAATAGAAAGCGAGTTTTTGAGAGAACGGAGCATCCGATTTGAATGATCTAACAAACATTCAATTGGTAATGATTGGGAGAAGGGGTTATTAGTTTTTAGCAAAGGCAGGTCCAGCCATTTTGAAGATACAAGGCTAAATGTGCAAAAAATGGCAGTTTTTAAGAAAACTAAGCGTCCGATTTGAATGATTCAAAGAACTTTCTGCTTATTTTAACAAAATAATAAATTTTGGAAAAGAAAATTTTTTGTTCCAATTTTTTTTTTCAATTTTTTTTTTCAAATTTTTTTTTTCCTAAAATTTTTTTTGTATATCGAAAATAATTCAAATTTTATTTTTAATTCTGACCAAGGTTCTAATATACTTTAAACAAATAGTTTCAACTTTGCAATTCAGTTTATATAATTCTTATAAATATTAGACAATATTTCAATATTTATAATAATCTATTTGAAAACATTCAATATTCTTTGAATATTTCGTTATGGTACGGGAAGTTCCAGCAATTTGCCTTAAGGCACGATGCCATACACCCCACTAGTTAAATTTTTTTTACTAAATCTCCGGAACCACTAGACCTGCCTTCCATAAAAATTTAATCATTTTTTATCTTGTCAATACAAGTAAAATGTTTTTTGAAATATCAAAATCAGACGATTTGTTCTCCTAAAACCTGAGTTACCGTTTTTGACACTCTTTACCTCGTATCTTCGGACCGGTTAGACCTGCCTTGCCAAAAACTAATCAGCACGTTTCCTTATCAATATGAATCGAATGAATTATTCAAATCGGTTGATCGGTGTTCCCGAAATCGTCGACGAAAACCTGTATCCGCACACACACATACAACAATTTTTTCTAAGGTATGCCAAAATGTTCAGAAAACTTTGAAATGTAAAGATATATAAAAATTTGCATTTTCAATTTTTTGCGATTACTATAACTTACCCTACGGGAAGTTAATAAAGTTGGAATGATAAAATTCTTGAAAAAAACATTTTGCAGCATTCAAGCAAAGATTTTAAGCGCAATTGGTGCCCGTCAAACAGGCGTAGTTGGTCATATCGACGCACTTCAAATGGAATGGTCTGTCGCAGTTATCGCACTCGCTGGAGTTTTTTCTTGGCAGCTTTGCCGGCATCAATTTATTGAAAATGATGCCATACACCCTACTAGTTTTTAATTCGTTTATCCAATTTTACAAGACGAACAGTAAAACCGTTTCTTTAGAATTAGCAGAAAACTGCAAAGTCGTTTACATTTTAGCCAAAAATGCGGAACAAATTTCAAACAAATCGTTCGAAAAATATCGATATGTTCGAAATTTATCTGAATAGCTAACTTTAAATTTCTATTCATTCAATTATTTACACAAATCGACAAGCTTATGCAACTTGCCTTAAGCTATAATTACACGTACAACCAGTTTTTTATGAATTTTATCTACCATACAATGTTCTTAAATTGATACAATTTCTCAAAAAATATATTTGGACATTGTCAAATATACAATGAGTATTGTACGAAATCTGCATCAAAATATTAATGAAACTTAGATAATGAACTAAGGTGAATTTCTCAAATTTTTCAACTTTACAAATTCACCCACAGATGTCATCGTGGGTGCTATCGTCAAACTCTCCCTGCGCAATATAGTCTAAATTAATAACTATATGAGTAAAGAAAGTAATGCAATTAACTTCCGGGCATAGCCCGTCCGACAACTATTACTATCTATATATTACCTATCTCTGCGAACTTGGCCATTCGTATCCATGATCTTGATCATCGTTATTTCTATATACCCAAAAAGGTGAATCAAGCAAAGCACTTGTTCACTTTTTATCTCAACGTGAATTATAATATTATAAAGAAAAGAATAATGTTTGCATTATATAGTTTACAAATGTGCTTTAAAAAATTTATTACTTGTATTAAACTTTTTTTAATTTGTTCGTCCGTTTTTCGAGACCACCGAACTATTAGAATCGAGAAAATTGCAAAATTTTTTGTCTACGTTTTTTTAAAACATCCTGAACCGATTATAAAAAATTGATCGTGTGTGAAAAAATAACTGGTTAGTTTTTGTTAGAAGACTTTTTTTTTAGTAAAAGGCGACTGAACAGTTTATTTGCAAATGCTATTTTTTGCGTTTTTAATTGAATTTAGCATGGCGTTAGAGTTCATACGAATAGTGGTTTACTGAGTTTAAAATATAATGTTTATATTATTAAAGTAAAATATTATAAATGTGTTAAAAAAATATTAATTTTAAATCGCATTGATCAGTTTATAGCAAAATCGAAAACTTCTTTTTTGTAATCAATTGTCAAATATCTAAATCTCAATTAGTGTTGATTAAAATCTTTTATAGCTATTGGAAAGTTCATGCAACTTAGGTCAAAATGCTACATACCTATATATAGTTTTGCTTGGAGAATCTTTTAATAGATTCATTAAATTAAAAAAAATTCCATGCTCTTTCCATACGAAGTTTGATTGAATTGCGCTCTATCTAAACATTAATATTAAGAGCTAAAACTTTCAGAGAATTGTTTTTTATCAATTTGGAACCATTTGAGCCCCTAGGAGCAAGAAAATTCGAAAATTACCATTTTAAGGACCACCCTAATATATATATATATATATATATATATATATATATTTATATATATATATATGTGTATCCTGTTTGGCTCAAGCCAAAAGTGTTGAATGATGACTTAAAACAAGGTTAGAAAAGAAAGTATGATATATCTCATTATGGCACTTGTTTATCTATGGGCACAGCCATGTTAGATAAACAAAATATAAATTAAAAACATTTTACAAATTTAATAACATGGTAATAATAAATTAATAACAAGAACTTCAAAGACAAGATGCTGTGCGGTAAATTTATCGGCGGTTATTTAATTAATCAAAATAATTCTATTTTTTTAAGATGAACTTTATTCTGTCAGTTGTCAAAATGAAGGCAAAATTTACTTTGGAACACAAATCTTCAAGGTTATTTACTACCTTACTCTGAATTTAATTATTAACTATGATGAAATAATACAAATACAGATATAATTAGTTTTTTCAATATAGTTCAAGAAATTTAAAATATTAGTTATATTAATGAAAAGCTACAATTTGTTTGGCTCTTTTAGCATGATTTGCTCAATATAATAAATCGCATAAAATTCCCAAAATAAATAAGTAAAGAATTAAAAACTAGTGGTGCATGGCATCTTGTCTCAAGGAAAAATACAAGAACTTCCCGGACAAAAATTTACTTTTTTGGAAAAAGACTTTTTGAAAAAAAACTTTTTTATTTTGAAAATTCTGAACTTTTTTCAAAGCAATCGTAATGCTTTAACAGCATAGAGACGAAAAAAATTTCATTTTCTATTATTTGCGATTACTATAACTTACCCTATGGAAAGTTAAAAACTAAATAACTAAATAATAGGAATGCTTTCATGTTAACATTGTCTTAACCATAGATAAATAGGCATGGTCTTAACTAATAATAAACTTTGAGAAAATAATGTAAAATGAACTTTTGTTTTCAAGGAACAATACAGACAATGAACTATGCTGCAAATGGTCGACATCTAGCAGATCAGAACTATAGAGCTTGTGTGCGTCAAGAGCAGGGTATGTGTTCCATCGCATATGAACCTTGTCACGAAGGTTCCTTCAGGATAGGGCAGCCGCAAACTACTATGGGGCAAATGTCACAGGCCGGTCAACCAGGTAGAATTGAATTGTAATAATTATATTTTTACTTGTTACTTTACTAATTAAGCAATTTTATTATTAGTTATTATTATCGCTGGATTATTACACATTATGGATTATTAATTATACATTTAATAAGTTATTTCGATTATAATATTTACTATGCACCTTTATCATTGTCTTAGGATCGGGTTCGGCCGATGGCATGCAGACAGCCGGATCATCCGAAGCGGACATGCCAGGTGCCGATGAAATGCAAGGCGAAGAAGAAGCTGCTGCAGATGATCAAGGCACTGAAGATGAACCTGAAGAAGATGCGGCTGAAGAAGCCGATGAACCTGCAGATGAAGCAAACGAGGAATCTGCCGCCGAAGACGATGAAGGGTCTGGTGGAGGAGGCTTTGCTTCATTTTTCCGTTTTCCATCGTTCTCATTTCCGTCATTCTTTAGATCAGCGAGGCAGTTTATTCCGATTCAGTAAGTAATGAATAATATTACATAAAAGCTGACAATTACCTTATTTAATTCGATGTTAATGCCTAATTAAAATAGAAAGAATTCTTTATAGTTATGTTTATTGTTTTTGAAGAGCAATTGACATTTAAAAACAATATCATACAAATCGACTTATATAGAGCATTCACTGTATCCTTATTCTCGACAATCACTGCTATTTAAAAAAAATCGTGATTAATTGTTGTAAGCAAGCTATTATTCTTTAAACCTAGACATTATTTATTAAATCATTCACTTTATAACTTTATTATAATAAACATTATTTACCTACAATATTTATGTAGTAGTGAAACTCCTAATAAATGTGAGAATGATATCAGATTATTAATATGTGAATATCATGAAACTACACTCAATATTGGAAGTATTGCTAAATATTTATTAAGACTGTTATAGTAGCCCGTTGGAGATTTGTCTGTCAAAAACGTTGCAACATTTTTAACTTCCCGTAGAGCAAGTTATAGTAATCGCAAAAAAATCGAAAATGAAAATTTTTATATATCTTTACGTTTCAAAACCTTCTGAACATTTTGGTATACCTTAGAAAAAATTGATGTATGTTTGTGTGTATGTGTGTGTGTGCGTGTATGTGTGTGTGTGCGTGTGCGTGTATGTGTATGTGTTCGGATACAAATTTTTGTCGACGATTTCGGGAACACGGATGAAGCAATTTGAATAATTTAAAAAACATTCGATTCGTGATAAGGAGACGTGCTGATTAGTTTTTGGCGAAAGTAGGTCTAGCCGTTCCGAAGGTATGGGGCAAAAAGTGCCAAAAACGTTAACTCAGTTTTTAAGAGAACGGAGAGTCCGATTTGAATAATTCAAAAAACATTTTACTTGTATTAACAAGATGAAGAACTGATCAATGATCAACTGATCTTTCATGAAGGTCTAGCGGTTTCGGAGATCTAGTAAAAAAAGTAAAAAAAATACCATTTGTTGGTAAAAAATGATCAATATACATATTCACATCAAATTATCAGATAATTTATAGAGATTTTAACAATAAGTATACATTTTGTTTACATTCCTATGGGTTCCGTACCAATGTTTATCCGTTAGACGGCAACGCGGCGCTTTCGCCCTTCGACATTTCGTCTCTATGCAGTTAAAGCAGTACGATTGCTTTGAAAAATGTTCAGAATTTCCAAAATATTTCAAAATAAATTTTTCTTCAAAAAGTCTTTTTTTTCCAAAAAAAGTAAGTTTTTGTCAAAAATTTATAGTTTCTCAAAAATCTAATTTTTTCAGAGTAAATTTTTTTCAAAAATGTTAATATTTAAAAAAAAAAAAATTTTTGGTACGGGAAGTTCCAGCAATTTGCCTTAAGGCACGATGCCATGCGCCCCACTAGTTGTGTTCAGAAACTTTTTGCGATTTTGCCGAATCATCTTAAAATCCAAGTTTGGAATCTATTAGATTTGTTACTACCGCATGGTGCATAAACCTGCTATTAGAGACTTGTGAAACTGTGCCTCTCAAAATATTAGTATTTTCTACTAGAATTTTTTTCAAGAAGTTGCACCACCCTTTATAACCAAAAAGGTAGAATTTAAAAAAGGTTATATTCTTACAGGTAAAAGTAGATCAGTTAGTTGATTCTTATTTTTCGATAATTATATCCATCAAAACGGTGTTTGTATGCAAAAGGTTTAATATTATAAAAAAATTTGTAAAACATAATATCATTAAAAATGGAATAGAAATATCAATGTAAATAAAAATGGAAAATTCTCTGCATTTCCTAAATGTTCAAAAAGCACGTTTTTTTTGGAAAAATCAACGTGTAATTGTGCTCACACAGGACTACTAATGGTAACTACTAACTTATTGGTAACTCTTGCTTAAATCAGTTTTTTTCTTTTATTGTGTTGAAATATGGCTTCATCGTGGATTACTGGTTAGAGCTAGGGGTTTCAAACCAGATGTTCCCGGTTTTCACTTCTTTCACAACAGACATCGGTTTTCACTTGAAAATAGAGATAGCAGCATGTGTTCAAGTTAGCCTTTACGCGGCATTGGAGTATCTAATAATAAGTCATCGGTATTAATCTCAATAATAAATTCATCAAAAAGAGTAAGATTAACCGTTGGATTGCTATCTGTAAAACCATTTTATCAAGAAGTCGCACAACAAGCTTGTAGGATTATTTGTTATAATATAAAAAACGTGTGGAAATGAAAGTATTAATGTAAATTAAATTTTTGTTCTGAATGAATCTTTTAAAAATAGATTTTTTTTAACTGCATTCTGGCGGTATTGTATAAATCCAAATCTGATTTTGAAAATTAAAAATATTTTTTAATTTTTTTGTGTTTCCTTCTAGATGTACAGATCGAATAACGATGCCCTGCGTGGTGGAGGATTTTCTTAGCGCCGAAGGTGGCCAACCATCGCCCCTGTGCGAGCCAGTTCATTGTGGTCTGTCTCTGTGTAATGCTGCGATGTCGCCTTGCAGATTGGAGTCGAGTGTTACGCCTTTTGGTATAGGAGTTCATTTCGGACCAGGCGAACCCGGCAAAGGCAGCCCAGAAGACAACATAGGAGCATGTCTCCGATACACACAGGTGCCCTGCGCAGCTTAAAAAAAAGTCTTTAATTTTTTACTTTAAATGCAAAATAATATAAATTGAAAAAATATTTTGTCGGTTACATATGAATGAGTTCAGATGATCAGATTTTCTGTTGTTAGGGTGGTTTGTTACTTTGCTTATGTTAGGATCTTCACCTTTAGTCAGCATTAAATTGAGTATTTGGTGATGGAGGATGCAATGACAGCACTTCCGTCTCTCTAGGAGACACGTCTGTTTTGCCAATAATGTAGACCTTTAAGATGTTAGTACTAGAATCGGTTATAAATCACAAAATTTATAATATAAAAATTGATACGCAGTTTTTTCTAAAGAACACTGAACTGTTTTGTTGCTTTAGTTTGTTACTATACTTATAAGACTGGTCCACAAAAAAAAGTTGTCTGTATTAGGTGTGCTTATAATTTCTGTCGTTTCCTGGCCCTTTTTACCTTAAATAATTATTAAGTATTTACTTAATTGATCTATTAATCCTTTCCACTCGCGAATTGCAGAATTAATATGTATTTTGCAGCTGGAGTGGCGACATCAGAGTGAAAAGAGGGTTTAGTTTTTTTTTGTAGAATACAGCAGTAATTTGCAAACATATTTTCAGATATTCAATTTCAAACATATTTACAGAATACCCAGGGGAAATAGGGAGTAAATATGTTTGCAAATTACTGCTGAATTATACAATAGATGATTTGATTAAAACTTTATAGAAAACGATAGAAATGATGAGATTTTAATTATAATGCAGTAGATCTGATTTTGTTTTTTTTCAATTTTTAATTTTTTATTTCAATTTTTTGCCATTTGACCCCCAATTTTGATTTTAGATTCGTGTTTAGCGGTAAAAATACTTTGGAACCACTACTTTTATGTGGACCTGTGTTAACATTGTTGTATGCAATTTTTGTTTCACACATGGCTATAAGATTTAGCAATTATTATAAATTTAAGCTTTAAATTTGTATACCGGTGTTTTTTTACTAAATCTAAAATATATAGTTTCGTAATATTTAAGTATTATTAAATATTATGTTCATAAAATATAAGGTTGTCAAATATCTCCCTTCCGCCTTTTTGTATTATAAACCAAGAGCAAAAAAGCGGAAGGGAGATATTTGACAACCTAATATTAATGAACATCCACTGGTTTGTCAATTAGTGAATAAAAAAAAGATATCTTTGGAAATTATATCATGTTAAGACCGGTAAAAAAATTATAGTATTTTGCATTTAAAGTTTGTCTATCATAATTTTCTTATTTTCTTTACATTAGTGATTTCAAAACGCAGAAAGTATATAATGATAAGAATTTATGGAAAATTATTTTTACTTACAATTAGTATATGTATCATAATTTCATTTATGCACCATTATTTATTTATTTATTTCATACAATCATTCATGAACCTTCATATAGTTGGTAAGTAGTTTTATTTGAAAAGTTGATGGATGTTTTACGAGGAGGTTTGGTTTTAAATGTAAATATAAAATATTATTTTGTGCATACTATTGAATTTTATTTATTATAATTTTCATTTGGTAATTAAAAGTTATTATTAACTTAAAAATAAATGAAAAATAAACTATCTGTATGGAAATTTGAATTCATCATTTAATTTAGGATTACGTAGATTCTGTAGATTTTGATTGCTTCCAATTATTTTAAGAAATCAAAAATTGATTTACGTTGAAAAGGGTGAAATATATAAGATTAACAAAATGAAAATTGTGGTAATTGCAATTTTTACAGCACGAACTTTTTATTCAAAAAGAAACAAAAAATTCACGAAATAAAAGTTATGATAGTTTGAAGCTTTTATTATTCAAAATATTGAAATAGGGGTTTTCGGGCATTAGGGAATAAAGCAGTTTAATATATTTACAAAACAAAATTAATTGGGGGATAAACATATAGAAATAACTAAAACCAAATGAACAATTTAATATTATTTTATTGATAACGTTTTCATGTAAGTTTTAAATTATTTATAATTATTCATAATATAATAGCAATATCAGTGTTTATAACTTAAACAATAACGCTAACAATCTCAAAACAATACAAGTTACAGAATTATCTATATAAATTCTATAATTGCTTAGTTTAAACATAATAGTTTGATAATACATCTATGGTTTTAAATTTATTGTAAAAATTTGAATGCAGTACATGACAGCGAGAAACGTTATTTATAACCACTAATATAACAGAATTTGATATGATTATATAAAAAATAATTTTGTTAGTCAAAATTTTCAATTAGATCTGTATCATTTGCAAAATACTTGAAAATAACTTGCAAATAAAATATTTATTATTAACTGGTCTTCATGGGTCACATTTTGAAACCTTTATTAAAATTGGTCAAAATGGGATTAATTTAACTGGTTTGTGTTTTTGATATAAATTTCAATTTGATAATTTACAACTCGAAATATTTATGTGAAACAATTATTTAATAACACACACATATTTAAAACAACTTTTTTTCGTTATTCATTTTTCCTTTATAGAATCCTTTATAGAAAGATAAAAACACCACATATGAAAATGTTCTATATTGAAATCTATAGAAAAATATGGAAATGGAATATTAGGCTATAAGGTTAATTTTTATGAATTGAGGTGGAATAGAAAATATATGAACCGTCGCGATAATTTTGTAAAATAGTTATTAACACCTAACACTAACCCGAATTGTAAAATTTAGACTGTTATATATGCAACATTGTTTGTTAGTCCTATTTATATATATATTTATATTTATTTGAATTCAAAGTTTTCCTAATATTCCTAAGTAGGCGATTATATGCGTCTTCAATGTTAAAAGCCTTTATTCGTGTTATATTTCCCATATGAAATTTATAATAGAAGTCTCATCGTAATTACGACGAGATAAAATTCTTATTCTTTATTATTTTGTTACAATATAATTTGGTATATCATGTTATATATACATATACATATCCATATACATATACATACATATCGTTTGTAAATAAAGTCAAATCTTTTTTCGTCTAGGAAAAATATTTTGCTAAATTCTTTGCAAAATAAATTTTGTTTAAACATTTATTAGTAAAAAATGTGGTCGATTCGACATTAATAAAATACCACCTTCCAATTATTTAGGAATTTATCAGAAAGTCGTTGGTAATGAAATAGATAACTAAAATAAAATATACAAATATTTTGTTTATGTGGTTGTGAAAATAAAATTTTATAAAGTAAGTACATATTTAAACATTGGACTTAATTTTCCATATTTTATAGTTCAAGAAACATTCAAATTTTGTGTTTTCTATATACATTATGTATTGATTATTCGCTATATTAGAATGATTTATACGGTCTAAATTTGAGATGATATTCTACTATTCAAATTTTTCAAATGTAATTCATTATTTACGAAATTAGCTAAAATATTTATATTTGTTTTTGTTCATTGATGTTTTTAGTTAAAATTGCATAATATTTCCACAAGCATGACCAACTGAATCAATCAATTAATTTCAAAGAACATTTTTATTTATAAAAACTAAGTCAAATATCATTAATAAAACGTTAAATTTAATAGTACTAATATCACACGAAAAATGTGGCACAAAAATAGATTTGACTATAAATTTATATATTTATATATATGTATGTATATGTGTTGGTTACGCACACAAATGTATGGAATATAATTTATGTATTTATATATTATGTGTGTGAACATGTATGCGAATGCACATATGTCTATAAGAGAATGCAAATGCACATGTGCGAAACGCATACAATTATATATTATTTAACAGCAAATTTAATCTAATTTAATATTTTGTTTATCACAATCGATGCTTTGCTGGTCCAAATTGTTTCAATTTGTTAAAAACTGATGCAATCGGTACCAATGCTTCAAAATAAGATCCAAACAATGAAAAAGAAGTGCACGGAAACAGTTACATTGTTATCAACGCATGTGATTATTCTATTGCCACTGTTAGCAATTTATATGTAAAATCTTTTTAAAATTCTAACAACTGTAATTTTCCTGAATGCTCCTTCCGACTAATCGTATTGAATATAATTAATCGATGATGTCTTTGAGCTAACAATCGTTTGGTCATATTGTGTGAAGGGGTGTACACATTAGTACCTATGTTCATAAATTTTTATAAATTAATTTTAAAAGATTTAACGTTTGTACTGATCTTGTTTTTTTAGAAATTAAAATTATAATCTATAGTTGTAGAATAAATATTTAAATCTATGCTTGCGTGGCTTTTACGTGACAAACCAGCGAGTTTTTGTGTCTGAAATTTTCCGACACCCGAATTCCTGTGCCCATTCATAGTGACGAGAGATTGAGAGAAAAGAAGTCAAAGTTTCGCGAATATTTACAACCTGAATAATGAAATTGCTTCTTTTTATATTTTCGAAAGGTCTGGTAACTTATATTCTATTATCTTTCTGTTAGAGGAAATTTGGACAAAATGGCGTACATGGATCTGTCACAGTGGCCTTTTTTAAAAATTAGCTAGATTTATTAACTTTTTGCGACTGTAGACATGAAAAAGTCATAATAAGAATTCTGTCAGATGTTGAGTGCCATTGTCACAGTATTGTCCCTGTGATCTGTTCAAACGTGTTTCGCACCTTGAAAAGTTTATTTTATGGGTGTTTTTCTTTTTGGGGACACATTTATTGATATTTGTAATTATTTCAATTCAAATCAATTAACTTATATCAGTACCAGCAATTTCGATAAATTTTATTGCAGTAATCAGGTGTTTGTTGGAATTTTGACTAATTATTTTTGTTCTAATTCGGGCAAAATGATATACTTATGCAATGGACAAAATGATATAGTACTATTTTGCAAGAATTACAGGGCCAAGAAGAAAACCTGTAAAAGGTAATTGGCTTTTAACTTCTACTCCGAAAATGCAAGAAATAATTGCTAAAAACGTAAAAACAAACCAAAAGACCCAATAAGAATTCTGTCAGATGTTGAGTGTCATTGTCACAGTATTGTCCCTGTGATCAGTTCAAACGTGTTTCGCACCTTGAAAAATTTATTTTATGGGTGTTTTTCTTTTTGAGGACACATTTATTGATATTTGTAATTATTTCAATTCAAATCAATTAACTTATATCAGTACCAGCAATTTCGATAAATTTTATTGCAGTAATCAGGTGTTTGTTGGAATTTTGACTAATTATTTTTGTTCTAATTCGGGCAAAATGATATACTTATGCAATGGACAAAATGATATAGTACTATTTTGCAAGAATTACAGGGCCAAGAAGAAAACCTGTAAAAGGTAATTGGCTTTTAACTTCTACTCCGAAAATGCAAGAAATAATTGCTAAGAACGTGAAAACAAACCAAAAGACCCACCGGCATAAAGAAGAGAATTACATTTGTTGCAAAACTCTTTTTTTCATTCTAAGATTGGTCACTATGAATGACTTCTACCCTTTGGGCTCATGCTTCATGTGCTAAAGTTCCAAAGAGGACGAAACGATTTATTTGTGAACTGCTTTCTTAAACATTAGCACCTCAGTATATCTTTACCTTATATATCATTTTGTTCGTACTAAATGGGCAAAATAATTTTTGTAAAATGTTGCATTTTTTCTTAATAACAAACCAATGTTATGGCAATGCCATGTTACGCTCCAACTTATGAATCTGAATCATACTGAATACTGTCAAAATGTCATGTATTTTCTGTGCTTTCAGGCATTTTACACATAAACTGCAACGTCACTCGTATGTTATGAAGCTGGATCAGAAAGACTCCGCTATCTAAGATCGTTTTTTGACATTTGTGCGGTTTCTAGGTTAGGTTTTCCATTGGACAACCCAAAAGACAAGGCCTTACTGCACAGCAACCACATGGCATTAGTCAATATTTAATATGGAAAGTTCTTCATAACATAGCCTTGCCGAAACATTGGTCTGTTGTGCAATAGAATCGGTCTATAAATACAACATGCAAAATCTATTCAAAGGATTTACTGAAAGGGAAACCACCATGTGGAAAAAATATTCATTTTGTGAAATTCTTATTATATTACGAGAAATCGAGCTAATGAGTTTCGACTTTCGACAATCGACAATTTCCTATGTTTGAACCCATAAGAGAAAACTACATAAGTGTTTGAGGGAAATCATATATAAATTTACTGTTAAAGCTGT